GTGGTAGATGAACCCAACTTGGCGAGGCTAGCCTGCTGACCCCAACCCTTCCAAACAAAGCCCCAATCTCCTGTCTGACAGAGCGCTGGGCCCTCCAAGTTCCCGTCCCCACCGGGGACAGAGGGACCCTGGCCTGCCTACCCCAGCTGCCTCCGGGCCAGCCTGACGCCTAAGCCTCAGGTTGGCCCAAACTGCCCCGGGCCGCCCCAACTCTGGCAGGCCTGGGCCCCAGGCTGCCTGTTGAAGCTCAGCCCCCATTAGTTTAAGTGGAAAGGGGGAGCAATGGTAGGGTCACACCCCAGTTTAGGGGAGGATTAGCTTTCGCTGGTCTATGATACCCGCTACCATATTCCACTCTAAATGGGCTTGAGCTTTGTTGTAAATAATTCAGGAAGCTCTACTAAAAGTGGTGTCACTTTCCATCCAGAATTCTTTATAAACTATAAACTAAGTCTACATGCATCTGACGAAGTGGGTTTTTGCCCACGAAAGCTTATGCTCCTACACTTCAGTTAGTCTATAATGTGCCACAGGACTCCTCACTGCTTATACTTTTATCATCATTTAACAAACTGTTGCAGGAATTGGAGCATTAACTCATATGCAGAGGCTCCATTGATGAGGCAATCACTTACAGAAAAATCAACAAAGGCACTGGTATGCCACTTGTGATTGCTGCTATTCGTGCTTTAAATTTGATTCCATGTGAATTAATTGATTGTGTGTTGATTGATCACAAGCCTTTGGGTCTCCTGAAGTTCTTTAGTAGTTTTATTGTTTTTAAAAGCAGATTAGAGATAAACAAAATATTTTAACATGGCATCTAATCGTAGCTTTTCCTGTCATCTTACACAAAGTATTATGTATATCTTGATTTCTATAGTTTAATAGAATTACAGTAATTCCTCATTTAACACTATAGATATGTTTCAGAAAATGATTGTGTTAAGTGAAAATGTGTTATGCGGGGTCAATTTTCCCATTGAAAATAATGGAAGAGGTGGGGGTTGCATTTCAAGCGGTGGTGTCTGTTGAGATCAGGACATATGGTTGGGGGAGAAAGGGGACTGGGTTACAGCAGGGAGGGGAGGTGTTTGGCTCTGGGGAAGGGAAGGAGAGGAGAGGTAAGGGGGATTGGGTTGGGAGTATGCCCCTGTGACGGGTCTGCCGGGACCTGCACTGCATCAGGCGAGGAGGGGAATCACCAGGGAATGGCACGGTGAGTGGTGAACCCTCCGCCGCTTTGCAGGGAGGCGGGGGAAGCCCTGCACAGCTGCCAGCAATGGGCCATCTGGGGAAATCGTGTTGTTCCAGGGATGGTCGTGTAATTAAAAAACATTCCCTAAAAAAAAAAAAAAAATCGTGCTATCGCAAAAACATGTAAATGGAGTTGCAGTCACTTTCTCAAATGTTTAAGCAACAGAACCATGAGTGGGGGACTGAAAGACAAAGGAGAGGTTCAAAAGTGGAAGGATGAACAGAAAAACAGGAAGAGAGATGTGAGAAATAACAGGAGAAAGAAAAATGCAAATCATCACTGAATGTAATTAAGTCTTATGCAAGGCAGATTGGGAGTTTCTCAAAAGAGTAAGTGGAACTCTGAAGGTTTTTGTTTTGGTCCATGTTTTGGTATGGGTACAAAGACGGCTATGGGTATTTTAGAGAGCTGAGACAAAACTTTGGAAGTTTTCATAAGCTTGCCAACCCATTCAAGCACTCATTCAAAATTACACAGAAATGTGGAAACAATTCATCCATATAAATGGAATCCCCACAAACTATATCATTTACTCCAATCTCAGGCCTACCAAATAATCACTTCATTTGGAGCTCCAAATGTAACACCTTATTAATCTTTAGTTTTGTAATTCAACTAAGTATAGCTGAATTAAATAATCTTAAAACTCCTTAAGGCCAAGCAGCGTGTAGGAATACACCTTCAAGAAACCTTAACTATTATACCAAAGGGATTAAAGCAAATATGTAGTTCTAAGTGGTTTCATGTAGAGCTATATTGACCTCTTAGCATCCATCATACTGAATTCCTAGCAGGTGGTGGTAAAATATTTATTTCTCGTGAGACTTTCTATCTTGTAATTGTGTACAAAAATACAGACTATATGCAATACAACAAGTGAAGTCCTTATATCCCCCCTGCCAGTACCTGCCCTCCAAATCACAGTCAGGGAAAACTAGTGCCGGTGGAGGGGTGCAGGAGGGCCACCCAGAGAGGCAGGGAGGCATGTGGGGGTCAGTCCATTTAGCAATTAAAATTGTGGCAGCGACATGAGGGGTGGTGCACCTCCCAACTGCTACCACTAGTCACCTATGCTCAGACTGTATAGTTACATCCAGTGTTTTTTTTTGGGGGGGGGGTGAAGGAGAGGTATGGGGGGAGTGCTGTTACTCCAGGGGAAAAGTTGTTGAGCTCTGACAGGAGATGCTGGTACTGCGTTGGGAGGTGCCAGAACTGCATACCGAGCAGTACCGTCACCAAAAATAAATAAATAAATAAATATATAAATCACATCTTGACAATGTTTTGGATTCTTGACACTAAGGACCAGATCACAAACACTTATGAACATGCTTAACTTTATTCAAGTGATAAAGTTAACTAACTCCCAGAGCAGTTTGAACCAAAATCTACTCTAACATGCAGTTGAATACTATTTTAATTTGTGTTGTAGTACAATTGTTTGGGGGGATAACAGTTTAACAATTAAGAGACATAACTTTTTATTTCTAGGATGAGGAAGGGAAGTGTTTTTCCCTCCCAGCCACTTCCCCTCCTTCCCTTTTTCTTCTAACCAAAACATTGTATATAGAACTCTGACGTGAACAGCAACATCTACTATTCAACTACATGGTGTTTTAACCTGCCTCTAGCCAAAAGCTATACAATCTTTAAATTGCTGTAGAGTTTTAAAAAAAATTACTCTAAATCAAGTTAAAACTGGTCTGACCAGTGTTACTGAGCCCTCAAATAATTAAAGCATGTCAAGAAAATAGGATTTTTTTGAGTTTTAGCTAAAATGTTACATTAGGCTAAATTCAACAGTTAAGAGCAAGAAATGAAAGCATACCTACACAATAATTCAGATGGCTATAGTATATGAACTATATTTATTATACTAAGAGTAAACATTTTTGGAACTCTAATTCTTCTGGATTTATATTTGTTGCAACACTTTGAGATGTAGTTATTGTACCTCACAAAGTGCCAAACTGGATCATTAGCCACCTGAACCTTGACCTCAGGCAGCTGCATTGCTAGCGTATGAACAGTGTATATGCTGTGCAGTCAGCTACAACTATTTATATTGTCCATAAATATTTTATAGCAATACTATCTCTCTCCTGTATAGCAGTTCCACAGTTTTAGGACCCTGCTGCACTGTCATATCACAAATCCCCTGTAGAAGGCTTACAACCTGTTGTCTCTCACTAACTTTCTCTGCATTAAGAAAACAATGATCATTCATACACTGCAATATGCTGCTTGTATACACTATGTAAATAAAAGAGTACAGCTCTTTTTTACTATTATTACATTTGCTCTGAGTTCACTTTGTCACAACCTAGCTCCTTAAAACCTCCATCAGTAAGATGAATTGGTAAGATGAGAGATATTTCTACTATCCCACAACGTAGATATTTTCCTGTATTGAGGACAAATATTAGTTTGCTTAATTTTCCTGTCAGGGTATAGCTAGGTTTGACTCTTTTGATCACTTTCACCTGACCATTTGGAGTTGCTCTTATTAGAGACTGATCCCTATGCTGCTCTTTGATCAGCAGCCCTGGCAGTCTGCAGGTGCCATATGTCATCACATTAGCAAAGCACAGCAATATTAATCTCTTCTGCTAAATTTGATAATACCCACATCTTCTGTTAATTCACATACTGCCTTGTAACACTTAATTCTTTATTTACTTTGTATTAAAAGATACAATGTAATTCTCAAGAGACTACCAACTTCAAAGTTGGCAGTTTTTGCTGAACTGAGCAAGGCTTTACATTTTGTTATATTTGATTTATAACCTACAAAAAGTATGGGAATAGTTTGTTTGTGCCTTTGCATTGGTTTGCCTAGGAGAAACAACCTTCTAGCTAACCTGCAAATTGCTAAGAGTTCCCCCTTATGTACCAGCACACATCACTGAAAAACAGGGTGTTTAATAACCTAATTGTAGACATTCTGCATAAATAGTGTGGTTTCATGTGGTACAAAATTTCTGTTTTTAAAGTATTCTGTAAAATGACTTCATAATAGCAGACCAAGAGAAAAGGTGCTTAAAAATCTGAATAATGTAAATCATATGGAGTTCAGAGGCTAAGCAAATTACACACCCTGAAGCTGCCCTTGCCTATATGAAAGGAGCCTTTCTCCAGCTCAGAGCAATCCCCGCCCAAGGGAACTTGCATCTGAGAGTTTTCTAAACATTTCAGGTATACTTGAAAGCTGAAAGTAATTTTCATTTCCTACGCAGGAATAGCTGGTTTCCAGAACATACAAAATAGTGTTCATTCACCAGCAGACACAAAAACACCCCACCAAAGGAGAAAAAGAGGTGGAAAGAAAGATATTAAAGGAAAGACATTTTAAGCCACCCTCCACAATCTCAAGTCTCCAAACTGGCTATGAGGTTTTCACTTTGCTATCTGCTGGCTAGTTAATCGATGCCCCTTTACCTACACTACTTCAGTGTAACGAGGCTGACAAGTTTCCTGCAGTGGCAAACGCACAGCGATGCCAGACCTGCCAAGTCTCATTCATTTTGGCTTCAATCTTAAAAGGCGACGTAAGATTTTTTTTTTCCCCCTCCCGCAGTGAGTTTCAACAAGATATTTTACAGCCTCGCTCCGGACGACCCGCGCGGTGTGTTGTGCATGGTAAAGTTACGCTCACTTGAGAGGGTCCCAGGCTCGTGACAGCCTGGCCTCTGAAGTCGCAGAGCTCAGGCACCCCCTCCTCCCCCAGCCCGGCTGCCCTTACCATTTTGCTCCTTGGCGCTGGAGAACTGCAGCTTGCCGCTCAAACTGGACTCCGCTCGGGCTGCATGTCTCTGGCTGGCCAGGGCAGATGTTAGCAGGAGTAAGGCGAAGAGGTGCATTTGGCTGACCGGGGGAAGCTCTCACACACACCAGGCACGTTCAGATCGCCAGCAAGCCCCGAGCCTCTTTCACCACCACCAGGCGACGGCTGCGCCGCC